CTATAAAAAAAATAAAAATAATACATCCTTAATATTATTTAACTTATTAAAAAAATAATTTACTCATATAAAAAAAGACTGAGGGCTCTTTGAAATAATATTAATATTTTTTATTAAATATACATACTAGTTCTCTTCATATTGATTAAATTGTCTTCTATTACTTTTAAAAACATGAAAAGATGAAAAAAAAAAGGAAGTTAACGCCTATTTTATAGGAGGGTTTAGTTTAAAATTATTATTAATAATTTTTTTTTTTAACAACAATACAATGAAACTTGGTTTTTGTTCTGACAGAGTCTTTGTTACAAATGCATTTACACTAAATAATTTTTTTTAAAGATAATTTGAAGAACTGTTTGTAAATAAATATTAAAAAACCTAGTCTTGTGGTGAATTATTATTGCAATAATTATTTTAATAATATAAAACTCATCATCACATTTTTAAAGTTAATCACCCATCTCTGAATAATTAAAAAAAAAGAAAAAGGGAAGAAAAACTCCAAAAAACTCATTTCATTTTTTTTTCAAGCTTGAAAGATGAAAAGAGAATTGGAGCAGATATTGAGTGACGCAGAAGCGAAGACGCAATAAATAAACTAAAAAAATGATACTTTGATAACAAATAAATGTTGGTATTTTTGTCAACGTTTCTGTGTTTTTCTCGTTCGTTGATCTCTTGGAGGGTAAAATATTCAGATCGACATCTGGTAGGTTGGTTTGTGCAAACGCTCTCGTCTGTTGAGCCGGCTACGGATCAAGTCGAGCGTGAGCGTATTCAAGAGCCTTGTTTCGTGGGATTGCGGGATAGATTCTCGTCTTGCTCGCAAACGAAGTCTCCCCATGATACAGCGTAAAGACAGCAGACATCTAATTTGCGCTTCACTTGAATATCCATTTGTACATACTAAAGAGCAAATATTCCATCTTCTTATGACTTACAACAATTTAAGCATTCATAAATAGTTTCTTTTGAATATGTTATGTGAGAAAACATCCAAGAGCTTGACTTGGATGCTAATAAATATTTTAATGATCTTCAGAATAATAATACTGGAGGGGATATTATCAAACATCAGACTTTATTGAAATATTCAAGCAAGTATGAAGAAATATTTTCACTCGTCCCTTCAAAGGATTTCGTCATAAAATTATTATTCCACTGTCCTTGTACTCATTTTCATCCCTCTTTAATTCCTTTGCACACGATTCCCAAACGTTTCATTATAGTGTCCCTGCAACGCTTGTTATATGATGACATGTGTCTGTACACAGTAATCTCGATAATCCTAGTGTTTTACATATTATTAAACTGATGACAGTGCCACTTTGAAAGTTTGATTATTGCAAAAAAAAAATTCATTAAAAATAAAGATGAATAATTTTTTGTTTTTTTTCTTTTATTTTACGCTAAGAAAAAAATTTTGCTGGACAGAAAAATGTTCAATTAATTGATAAAAAGAATTTGAAATATTCACAATAAAAGATTTAATTTGGTATTTGGTTCAACATTATGGTAAGTTTATCCGAGTAAAGTTAAATCGACTTAAAAAAGGCCTAAAACATTTTGATTTTATTAGTTGAAAAGAAATATAAATTGTCTATAATAAATTTTTTCCTCAGTGTCGGAAGATTTAGTTGAAGATTTTTGATAGATGTGAAGAAGTATGCCTCTCGTAACTTCAATTAAGTCAAATAGAGTTTATTTGTGAAGCTTTGATGATAGAGAAATTAACTGCAGAATTTAAATTGAAGCTTGAAAAACTTTTTTTAAAGGAACTTTTTTTTTTTGTGGTTCTTATTTTAATTGCAGTTTTGAAGAGTATGAAGTAAAGAAGTTTTCTCTTGGAAAACATTTTTTTTTTTTTAAATTCATAGAAATTTCTATTTTTATTAGTAATCAAAGCTAGTTTGCATAATTCTTATATTTATATTATTCTTACTGTTGAGATTTATGAATATTTCATTGAATCCATGAAAAATATTTTTATTCTTATTGTGAATAGAATTTTTGTCAAATTTTGAATAATAAATGTTATATTCAAATGGAGCATAAAAACTATTCAGGATTAAGTGAACACAATTAAATGTTATTAAATTTTTAGCAAAGTAAATTTTTTATTATAAATAATTCTAAATTTATTATTATTTTTTTAACTGATTAAATTCATCTGAAAATACAAGTATTTAAATTAGTTCGATTTTTTTTACTTGTTGAAAGCATTAGAAACTAACAACTCGTGAAATTTCAGATTTTAGGATGATTGTCTAAAAGTGGAATTCAACTCTCAAATGGAACAGACAATTTTTTCCAAAAGTTACTTTTCCTCCATTTATTTTTTTTTATTGCTTCAACAACTTCCAAACCATGTAAAAAAAATGTTACTCTTCTCTAATGAATCCTGTCTTGTACTTTTTCATAACAATAAAAAAAATACATCCATATTATTATTACCATGAATTATAATTTTTTTTCTATCAAACCAACAAATAATTTAAAAAAAAAAAAAGAGAGAGAAAATACTGAGCACTAAATTTATAACCACTGCCAAAAAAAAAAAAAAGTACTCAAAGATTTCCTATCACCATCAATCATCACAAAAGCAACAATGATAAATGTAAACACCCAAGAATCTGTCAAAAATCCAACCAAAAACCAATCAAGCTCAATAAAAGCAATATTTATAAAACAACAGCATTACAAACAAGGGACTTAATGAAATGTTTTTCCTCGAGTTGAGATTGCGTGAGTGTTCTAGTGTTTTGACGTAAAACTTGACCCAGACAATTGATGTGATGTCAAGGGAAAAATATTCCACGGTTGATGTATATACCATTAAGAGCATTAACGATCGTTATCTAGTCACCCTTTAGAAGTGTCTTCTCACTTATATTCTCTCTTACTCACTTGTTTTCTTCCTCACGCCCTCGTGAGTGGGGTCAATTAATAGGATACCATTTATAAGGACAAACCGGGAATCTGGGAATCCGCAATCCGCTCGAGGGCAATAAATCTCAAGTCGCCCGGCAGGATGGAAGCGAAACCCCTCTTGTAAGCTGGTTGTATTGTAGCTATTACCGAGCCATGCATCACTAGGTAACAACCACGCTATTTTTACTCTCTTTCTCTATCACGATTAGCTACATACCAGGAGGAGAGTGAGATAAAAGAGGAAGAACACTGTCTGGGAAGTGATGCAGCTGATGCGGGGTGGCAAGTTTGACCACCCAGATGCTGTACCTAAATCCAGAACTTACATGCTCACTATCATCTATCAAATATCACCTACATCACTGTTTCAATATTTAATAGCATGTCTTTGAATTGATTGGAACCAACAAGTGGATTCAAATGACAATTTGTTGGAGATGTTGATCAGGTTGATAAAAATACTAAACCGATTTTTTTTTCACTCAATATTTGTTGAATAATAATTCTTTAATATTTATAAAAAATATTGTTCATCAACATTCCAATTAATATTAATTTTATGGAATTTAGAGTAAATTTGATGATCTTAAATCATAATAATGTGAATATTATATTTTTATTAAAATTAAAAATTCGTGAAAAGTTTTGATAAATTTTTGTTTCTCACTTTTATTCGTTGTTATTAAAGCCATCATGATATGATAGGTGAGTTTATGAGAAATATCAGGAAATCCTATGAAATTGGATACATTTGAATTTTTTTTATTCGACTTTATTGTTCACATTATCTAAAATCCTTTTAACAATCTATAGATCCAATCATTTCCTATTGTGTTGTTATTTAAAATACTCTAAAATTATAATAATATAAAATTACTCTACCATCACATTTCTTCCAATTATTATTAAATATCTTGAATTACAGACAATAAATACTTGCAACCAAAAATGCAAAAATATGTCATCTACTTAAATAAATGTAAAATAATTAAATTAAAATCTGTGATAAAAAGCTCCACGACCTTTCATTGATTCTCAAACCGAAAAGATTTTTTATCCAGCAAAGAGCATATCTTTTTATAGTTTCAGCCCCGAATTTTGTTTGCCCTCATTTCCCTGGAAACGCTTGAAAGTTCGACAGTGCGATTTTAAAAATTGTTTAGAGAGAATTTAGATTATTCAAAAAGACAGGGGGAAGTTGATGAAGGGAAGAGTAAAGGGGGTCCATACTTAGTCCTTGTATACTCTTGGTTGCGCCCTCACTGGGCGCTATAGTAACAACACGGAGAAACATAGGGAAATCAATATGGCTTCCGTAGTCCTCTTTCACCGCGTCCCTCTCGTCGACGTGGCAACCCTCCTCGAGCCAACGTAGATATTTCCATCTTGCTTCCTCTCGCTCGGCCTTGCTCGGACGGGTGAACCCATTATGAGGGGGTGTTACTCTGGGGCCAATCCCCAACCACCCGCGAGCAAAAGAGGAGAGGATACTACGATAAGGGCGCATGTGCGTTGCTAAGGCCACCGGATGGGTCGACGAGAGGACGCGGAAATCAGTTGTCTCTTTCCCAAGATATTTTCTCTTTTCATTTCTCTTCCACAATTTACAACTGTTTTTTTTTTTTGGGGCTTTGCTATAAGCACAAAAACATTACATAACTCTTGATGATGAAGATACAGCACTTGATTTTTAGGCAATCATATCAAATGAATTCCTCTCGTGTACAAAATACTTTCTGTTGGTAAATTAAACGTATCAACTATACCGAATCACTTTCTTTCTCTTAATTAAACCATTACATTAACACCCATTCAAATACTGCATTATCGAAAATCACTTTGATATCCTTTACTACTCAAATTCAATAGAGTTCAAAGTCAAAACAATACTTTGAATATCTGATCTAATGTTTCTACTGAGAGTTTCGATACATTAACATCTAACTATACATGTGTAAATACCTACTTGACAATGTAAATAACTACTTCTATCTCTATTTAGCCTAAATATACTATTACAAAGCTACAAACTCAAGCATCAATTACCTTTCTAATAACTTGCTAATCATCAGTTAGTCCATTGACATTGTGAGAATCAGTTCATTAGACATTTATTTGATTACCCGAAAAGCTTTCTTCCTGTCATATTAAGTCTTATCAGACTATAAAGTTATCAATTATTCCAACAAAATTAATATAAAGGCTATTTGTTGATGTGTCTTGAACGAAAATTGTGCAATATTTCAAAAAAAATTAATAGTAAAATATATCACAAGCGTTGGAATAAAAAGAAGAGATAAATTGCTAAATTTGTAAAGTTATAATTAAGTGTAAACAGTGAATAAAAATAAACATTCGTGAAAATGGCGCTATCAATGGCTATACCGCTTTCGGGGTTGGAGTTAGACCAATTTAATAATTTAACAAATCACCTGATGATGAACAGGATTGACTTTAGAGTTATGCAACCAGATGCAAGGCCATTATCACCAAGTACCAGAAGTGATTCAAGTAACACCAGCGGCATCAGTAGTTTGGTTCTATGTAGTAGCAATTACACAACACCACAATCATCATCACCAGTTTCATCACGGTCTACTTCTCCAACAAAAGATAAGGACAATTCAAACAATGATACCGACAGTAATGTCTCAGCAAATGGTACATCAAATCAACAACCAAGAAGACCACGTTCAACACCACAGAGATCTAGATTAGCGGCTGACCTTTGTGATTTGAATCTATTTTATCGGCAACTCCTTCAGTTACCACCAACTCCACTTTACCGACCTGCCGGTAAGAGTTACCAACATTCAATCACTTCACAAAATTCAACCACTGATGAACCACCACTGAAAATACTTTATAAAAATCGAGATATTTTAAATCTTGAGGCCAACCTGAGAGAACCTAGTTGGCAGATGAGGACACCTTCTGTACCTAGACATAATATTCGGTATTTTATGGCTAACAGATCAATTTATTTTAGACTTGGAGACCATGGACTCAAAGAAGATTATCCTATGGTAAATAAAAATCCACTTGACGATTAATTTAGTGCAAATCACCATATGATTATTAATCAAACTGATTGTTTTCGATATCTAATTAAAAATTTTTAATGAACGAATTATTAATGATGAATTTTTTTTATTTTTTACAGAGAATTTGCAAAGAATGTGACTTTAAAGAGCCATCACCGTTTCTGATTTGATCCAAAGATAAAAAAAAAAAAAATGTATCTATGTTATCGTTCAGTGAACAAAAAATTAGATGAGTTACAAACTGAAATTAATTAACAAAGTATTGATAATTTTTATCATTAATAATTCGTTCATCACCTGTATCATCTAATGTTGAGGTAATTTTATTTTTAATAACAAAAAATTCTCATTTGATTATTCTTCACGACTGCTACGTATACATTTCATAACATGAAATGTAAAATGTACGCTTACTTAACAAAACACAAAAGATTCGATAAATTGAAAATTTTTTCACTGTACTACTTTTAACTAAAATTTATTTGAAGGATATGTATATTGGGTTGTTAAAGCATTGACAGATATTCAAATAAATTAGCAATTTTAAAATATAAATAAATGAATAATTATTTAGAGGATATTTTATATAAATGATTTTTTATAGTTGCTATAGTGATGAAAAATAAAATTATATTTTAAAATAATAATCCTGTTGACTGTATTTTTTATTGTTGACATTCAATGAAGAATGAACTAAACTGTAAATAATCTTTCTTTATTGCTCATTATTTTTGTCAACATATTTTTCATCAATTAGACGAGTAATGCTCAACCTTTGTACTTAAAAATTTATTTAAATAAACCAAAATATAAAAGTCTAACTTATTCTTACAATATTTAAATTAAAATTACCATTATTTCTAGATGATTTATTCTTTTTGTTCCTAATTGATCTTAAGATCAAAACAAAGTGTAGTGTTAATAAACATAATTAATCAATCCAACATGTCCTGTGATCTAATATATAATACAACAGGAATAATTGAATAATTATGAAAATAATTGAAACTGAAATGCAGGTAAATATCTGGTTGATTTGACATGTTATCCTAAAGACTGATACAGATCAATTCATCCATTTACCTCTTCATCACTTCATACGTTTCTAGCTCAATTCTATCCAATCCCACCCTCCCTCCCAGGTGTATTTTGTACCGCGTGTATACAGACACACACGCACATGACACTACGCATATACAAATTCACTTGTTTCACTATCTCTTTTGCTCTTATCACTCTTATCAATGTATTCACCTGCACAAGTGTGCTCGCACTCTCATGGTGAGCAAGTGCGTACGAGATGTGCACGACTATTCAGATACTGTTGTTATTGTTAAAGGAACAATCGCCCGTCAATAGGCCGCCTCGGCACAATGTATCTATTCAGGTACACTCCCAGGGGTGCTCACTCGAGCATTTTCATTTATGGAAATTTTGTATGAATAAAAAAATTGATAGTCACTCAATTACGGGATTATTGATGACATACAAAGACAGTTAATTAAAATATAAAAACAAAATATTTATCAAATGATTGAAGAAATGATTATTTATTGAATTAAAGATGAAGGGGATGAATGATGGGTATTATTCTATGTGAGAACCTCTGGATTAGTGATGTACTGAAGCTTCGAGCCCATACGATGATTACGTATGCGGGAATTATTGTTGGGAAATGCGCGATGCACATGCAAAGGCCAAAAATCGTCGAAATCAGTCGAGTTCAACATCAGCATTGTAGCTGGGCTTTGTCTCTGTCTCATTGTTATCGGTGCTCGATGTACAACGCCATATTAGAGCATTGTATATGCGGCTTTTACTTGGTAATTGATATATATATATACATATATATATTTATATATTTATTATTAAAAAATAATCTCCAACAATTAAATTAGTAAAACTATTTGGTGCTAAAAATTTCATCTACTACTTTTTTTTAACAAACTTCATTAATTTATTTTTATTGTTCAATTAAATTAAATAATTTAATAATTGTCAGCAATATTAATTTTTTTTTATAAATTGAGTACAAAAAAAAAATTATTGTAAAGTTTTTTTATAGTTTAAATTTATGGTTAATAGAGTAAACACTATTTTTGAAATTAAATTTATTATTGTTATTGTTATATTCTATTTTTTAAATTATCATCTACTTTTTTCATGAAACATTCTTATTGTTTATTCTAATTATGAGAATCCCTAGAAGTTTATTTGAATAAACAATAAAGTGAATACAAAACCTTTATGTTAAAATAGAATGCTTTCGAACCTTTGATAAGACAGAGCTTTCTTTCATTATATACTTTGAATAAAAAGAATTCTTAGATTATTATTAATGAAAAATTTCTGCAAACTAAAATCTCTCTTTTGAGTTTATAAATATTCAATACACATAAAAATTATATTATATTTCTTATTTAATATTTAATTTATAAATCTAAATAAAAATTTTTTAACGAAGCAAATCAATAATTTTTTTTCTTGCTAAAAAACTTTTTATTATCCAAACTTAAATCCGTTTTCTATCTCATTAATTATCAATGCTGAAAACACGGCATTCTTCAATTAATTAAACCTGAACTTACTTCATCCCAACTTAATTCACTCTAATTATTTTCTTCTAAAACCTATTGTGTATTTTGAATCGAAGAGAATATGTTTATATATATCTATATATATAAGAGTTATTCTTTTCGATTGAATAGCAAGGAGTGAAAAAAGAAATTTTGCAAATTCTGCATCGATACCAAACAAGGCGAAGGTGCAAAGGAAAGAACGAAAGAGGGACCGAGGGGGCAAGAGAGTGGAGGGCATAGAGCAGTTGAATAGGAAGCGACACAATGGACCTGGGTGGCTGTGGAGGCGTGTTATCAAATGGGTTCCTCATTCACATACTGTGGCCTAAGCTACCTGTGTCTGTCTATACCGGTGTCTGTCTGTTATACTTATTCATACCATCTATTGTGTCTCCACTGTTGAGTCGAGTTCAGTTGAGTTGAGAACGCGATGGAACGTGCCTGCACAATGCACGAATATGGACTGTACCTTGTGCACGAATCATCTACCCCTCTTTTTCCCGCTCCTATCTGTTAACAGAGCCCTTCTATTTGCTATCTACTACTTTAGATTTGTCGTTACTCTTTGGGATCTTTCACTCAATCTCTTTGGTCTACATTCCAATTTTCGGGATACTCGATATTGCACTTAACATACTGACGATCAAAAAAATATCTTTCACCAATAAATAATTATTGTGATGGATTATTATTAAATATATTTCATGAATTAGTTGTGCAATTATATTTTTTAAACCTTCTAATATACTTTCAAATGTCTCGAAACATTAAGATATGACAGAATTAAAAATATCAAAAATCAACTTTATGATAATAACTTCCTAATGAAAAGTTAATGAAGAATTAAATGAATGAATTATGCTTTGAATTAATTGGAAGATGATTGAAGATATTAGCCTACTGTTGGGCTAGTAATATTCCAATCCTGCTTCGTTCTAGGGAAATCAATGAATACTCATAGATTCTTAGAATTAAACCTACTACTGACTCAGTCAGTGATTAATACTTGGAAGCAGTGAATAGTCATTCATTCATTAAAAAAAAGCAATGATGATCCTTTGAAATTATCAATAAAATATTTGAACTTGTTATTTCATTAAATCAATCGGGTACAGTTCCAATTAGGAAACATGACTAAAAATAAACTAATGGTACAGAGGATTACATTTAAGTAGTAAATAATTCGATTTGGAAAATCATGTTTGACAAATACAGGAACGATTTGAAGTGAAATGTGTGGATTGATAAGATAAGCTTAAATGGTAAAACAGCAAGTAGTGGATAGCATAACCAGAAGGTCCCAGGTTCGACTCTCGATCTCGACAAAACATATTTTTCGCTAAGAATCGTCCTGGGCTACTTGTGGAGTCATCTACATATATTAAAAATCGTAAAAGTTAAGGATTATGTTCATAAATTTCTTTACTTATTCTAAAATAAATAATTACTAATTTACAGTAATTGTTATGAGCTTATTTTAAAAGTATCTAAAATTTTTTTATCAGTAAAAAATGGTATTAATTTTATATTAACATGATAATAAAACTGATTTTATATTTATTGTTGATCAAAGCTATACTTATTAATTAAAATTATCATTCGTCTACTTAATTTAATAAATAAGTTTAATTGAAAAATTTTTATTCTAAAAAAAAAAACTATCATTAAATTTTCATTTCTTACAAAATCCACTTTGAAAGCAATGAATGTGAATGTCCTATGAATAGGGCAATGATTAAAACTACTTCAGGGATTGAGGCTTGAATGTGAATTTAAAATTAAGTGATATCGCAATTTTTTTTAGCTTATTCAAAGATGCAATATCTAAAACGATTAATCCTTGAACCACGTCTATATTATTTAATTAAACCATTTAAGAATAGAAGCAAAATAAATACTTGATTTTTATTGATTGTAATGATATCATTGATAGAAATATTTTATTAAAAACTTAAACTTCAGTATTTACTGTTTTATTTGTTGGAATAGAAAGCAACGATAATCACGTGAAGAATCAACAAAAATGAAGGAGATGAAGAAGAAGAAGATAACATAAAGATTGAGAACAAAAATAAAAAACAAAACGTAAAGATGAACATGATGAGCTACAAGGCGCGCCACGAGCTGCCACCATATTCTATATGCTATACAAAACTCGCTCAATACGTCATTCAGCCGAATAATACTGCTCGTTCCCGGCAGAATGAGAGTTTCAAAGGGAATTAAGGATTCAAAGGCATCTTTTGCGTACCGTGCACAAAACGGCCAGCTTCGTACTTTACTCTGTAACTCTCTTCCTTCGTCGCTATATAAAATATATTCTATTTCACCTACTTCCCACTACCACATTTACAACCTATTCCATGATCAAGACTGCCTTTTAATGATTCTTTATCTTTCAAACTACTGCTTAAGATCCTAAGACTACGACAATGCTACTTTGAAATCAATACATAAAAGTTTTCCGATAAAAACTTTGAATTTATTAAATTGTTTATTTCTATTTTTATTTCAAATTTACTAATAATTTTTTTTTAATAATAAACAAGCGAGAAGAAAGGGTATACTGTACGAAGTGGGACGTGTTAGCAATTTAGAAAATTAAAAAAATTTTTTAATTCATTAAAACAAGCTTTACA